AGTGCTGTAGATACTCTTTCAGGAGAATCCTTCGGGAAAAAATAACAGCAGTGAAAAAGCTACTCCTGGAAGCAGAGTGCAACAGTTTCAAAAATGTTGGAATTACTCAGATGGCCAAATTTCACTTACTTCTGGGGCACGACACTGTGTCTGAAAGTCCCATCTGTACCTGGTACTCTTCTGTCCAGCCTTGGTGGTTCATGAGAACGACTATTGCTTTGTCTGCCAGGCAATTCAGTACACATTGCTGACTCAGTGCACCCCAGAAGACAAGCCAAATTGGCCCAGTTATCTGTTCTAAGGGCAAGGATGGCAAAGGGACTCAGGCCAAATCTGAGGTGAGAAGCACATAGAGGCTATGCTAACCTGGAGGGACAGAAGAATTTCATCCAGCATTTGTGAAGATGTTGGCTTGAGGGGACTGGAGGAGACTTTGGATTTGGGCTCAACTTTTATATATTTGCTTTGGACTTGGATGAATCTCCCATCACGGAGATGTGGTGGGATGGCTCCTATGATTGGAGTGTTGGGATGGAGGGATACAGGCTCTTTAGGAAGGACAGGCAGGGGAGACAAGGAGGGGGGTGTTGCCCTCTATGTCAATGGCCAGCTGGAGTGCATGGAGCTCTGCCCTCTATAGACAGATAGGAGCAGCCTCATGCTCACAAACCCTGGTCCTCATGGGGGACTTCAACCACCCCGACATCTGTTGGAGGGACAACACGGCAGGGCATAAGCAATCCAGGAGGTTCCTGGAATGCATCGATGACAACTTCCTTCTCCAAGAGATATGCTATGCTGGACCTTGTTCTCACCAACAAGGAGGGGCTGGTGGGGAACGTGAAGCTTAAGGGCGGCCTTGGCTGCAGTGACCACGAAATGGTGGAGTTCAAGATCCTTAGGGCACCGAGGAAGGTACACAGCAAGCTAACTACCCTGGACCTCAGGAGAGCAGGCTTTGCCCTCTTCAGGGATCTGCTTGGTAGAGTGCCATGGGACAAAGCCCTGGAGGGAAGAGGGGCCCAAGAAAGCTGGGTAATACTCAAGGATCACCTCCTCCAAGCTCAGGAGCAATGCATCCCAACAAAGAGGAAGTCAGGCAAAAATGCCAG